AAGTTGATGTATTTCCTCAGCGACCAGCACGGATCAGCTCTAGGCATGACGAAGCGGATATCGTCCTCTTTTGGAAGACCAAACAAAGTAGTTTCGCTTTCACAACGAATCACACAGCGTCTTCACGACATGACAGCGTCGGCAACAACAATACTACAGCGAGAATAAAAGTTGTGCCTTCTTTCGTTGCGTGAACATTTGGGCGGCGTTATGCAAATCTTCCCACATCTTGACGTAGACATGTGGGGGCGTGTTAGAACGAGCCTTAGGTGTGGCTGACTCTTAACTTTTATAAAGAATATCTCTTTGGTTTTGAGACTTTAGTCTTTGCAACTTTACAGATCTCCTTTATGCACCAAGAGCTTGTAACACTCCAAAGAGAAAGGAAAAATTGAAATCGCATCATATGACCCCTTTAAAAGTTAGTTATCTAAAAAATGTTTTCTTTAAACTGCTCATAACTTTTTCAAGTCAGTTATAAACAGGGAGAATTGTCTAATGTGAATCCTAAAAGTAAGTCTGATTACATTTTGGCTAGCTACTAGTTGATGAAATTAGTTCTTAAGACAGTCTTAACGTAGTGTCTGTTTATGCAACTGGCCCCTGCTCAGGGATGCTTTCTTGCATCGATTAGTCGCGCCTGCGCATTCAGAGAACGCGTCTCGCAAGCGGAAGTGCGTCTAGCGTCATTATAGTGGCAAGATGGTGGCCACCAGGAGAAGAACACGCGTGGGCTCCCCTGTGAACGATACCAGCGATGAAAACTCTGGAGCCACGGTATGTATGGTTCTTAAGTAGTTTAGCCATTTAGTCTACATATTCTCCGCAAGCGTCAGTGTGTGCTTGTAATTGCAACGTTGTATGTACTTTCATGTAATAATGAGTCGCTGCATGTGTCCATACATGCCCGAGCAAGTGTGGGAAACCTGTTGAACTAACAAATCACGTCCATATTCAATTAGATAATAGTGTCCGTTCATATTTGTTTAATGTCGTCTGTTTTGCCTTCTTCCTCGACTTGACACTTATGTTATTAAACAAGACCGGCTGCATGTGTAGCTTTGGGCTGCAGTCTCACGATGTGTGATCATGCTCCTGTTAGGCGGGACATCTAGCCATACGTACATATGTTAGTTTTCATTAAAGTGACCATATGTTATTGGTGAATTTTAAGTAACGTCACTCCTTCTGATAAATATTTATGTCATTAGGTTATGTTATAAAAGCAGAACTGTTAAAGTATTGCAGTATTATTGGGAAAAACATCATCACAACCCAGATTATGTGTGATAATATAAATATTTCAGAAGATGGTTAAAGGCAGGGTAGGTGATTTGGTTCAAAAGCATTTTTGTTATGCTGGTTGAAAGTCCCTTCACAAAAAGTTCGTCCAATCATATCACTCGGTTCGAGGGCTACGATAGGCTGCCCTTCCTATCTGTCTTTGGATGTATTTGCATACTTCTGAGCACCCTGTTCGCGCAGACATGATACGTCAACAGCAGACCGAGCGAGAATAGAAGGCGCAGTTATTGTAATATTATGCGCTTTGTACTGTAATGTTTTCCGGTGAATGAGACATGAGGTAATCTGCCAGCGTCCCGTTCAACCGTCCACCAACGCCGTCTCTCATCATGTCGCTGGTTAGCCCTGTTTTAGAGAGAAGGCTTGGCTTTGGAGAGTGATTTGCAGGCAGGGTGGGATCTTATGCTTTCAAAGCTAGCTTGTTATTGCTACCCTCTCCGAAATCGCATAATACCTCATGCAATCTTTAAATTATAAACTGTCAATCCATCACTGAGCAATGTCTACTTTTATTTCTGTCTTAAGTTTTTCATTGAGTAAATAATCCAGCTATAACTCATAATGTTTGTTTACTAAATGGCTATTATTCGAACAATAAAAAAAAAAAGTAATATTAAAGATTGAGCAAGTAACAGTTGATTGGTGGTTTATGATTTAGTATTTAAATTTTAGTGTGTATCAATTCAAATGTCTATAAAAATTATAAGAAGTCCTTGAATAATCTGAAGCAAATGTTCTTGCTCTCACAGCAGCCTACTCCTTCGACCAGAAGAACACGGCGCAGAACGCTAATGGAAGAAAACCAGCCCCAGTCCGAATTTGTTGGCAACTCCCAGCCAGATGAGCCGAAGGACGACTGTACTGCCTCTTCCTCAGCAGCAAGTCTGCCAAAGCGTGACATTAGAAGATCCACACGTCTCCTTGCTGACAAAAAGCAGCCTAACTCTACCCATGAAGCTGATGTGTCTGAGTCAGAGTCCTGCTGCTCTGTAGTTTCTGATGTGCAGGTGACACCTAGAACCAGACGGAGGACTGCAGTCAGGGGGAAGCCCACTGTACAGGATGAGGCATCCGAAGTTGAATCCTGCTCATCTGAGGTGTCCGCAACCCATTCTCGCAGAGCTCCGTACAGCCTGAGGAAACGTGTTCTGACTTCAGCAGCTGCAAAAGATGCCACAAAGGATGATGATGATGATCCCTCAGGGGCTGAGTCGTGCAGTTCTTCTGTATCCGTCACTAAAGCTATGGACACCCGTCCAATAACAAGGAGCCATCGGAAGACTGCTGTTCCTTCCACAGAAGCAGATTCATCTGAACCAGAGTCATGCTCCTCCAGTGTTTCTGGCCTACGTGGATCTGTGGTCCGCAGATCTGCACGAAACCAGAAGGTAAAACCGACTGAGCCGATCCCTTTGAGCTTTGAGGAAACCACAGACACCCCTTCTCCAATGTCCAGGAAGAGTGCAAGTAGGCGCAAAACTGTAGTTGACGACAAAACTGACTCTGATGGATACAAGTCTGGTCCCAGCATGAGTCCGTGGAGATCCACCAGGCGTCAGCCCAAACCTGACACTCTGGTTGGTGAATCCGATTCAGAATCAGTAGCTACTGATGTCTGCACTTCTCAAGGGAGCCCCAGCCCTCAAAGAGGAAGGGGGACTCCTTGTAGTAGCCGAACCGGGTCTGCTAGTAGTAGCCGTGCGGTTCCTGTAACCAGGACAAGAAGTAAAGCAAAAGGGGCTTCTCATGTAAGTGACACCATTGCAACTGCTGCTGCCATGCCTGAGGAACCGGGTGAGGGGCTTGAACCTCCTCATGAAAGTATTCCAGTACCTGATGGAGATGAAGCTGAAGACACAGTAGATCAACTGGACAGCACCGTGACCGTGGACACCAGTGAAGCTCAGGAGTGCACCATGATTGAGGAGAGAGCTGAAGATACCACTGTAGTTCTTGATCAGGATGAGGCCATTGAGATGCAGGGACCCCAGAGCAGCATGCAAGACGTTGAGCCGGTGGAGGACAGTGGAACTGAAACTCTGACACTTCAAGAAAAACCTGCGGCTGAAACTTCTGCTACGCTAACTGAAGAGTCTGGAGATGTTGCCATGGAAAATGATGAGCCAGAGTTTGTGGAGACAAGCCACGTTGTTGAAGATCATACATGTTCTGAGCCTGTGAAGGAGGATACAGTAGAAGCTGCGGCAGAAGATCCTGTACCAGCTGTGATTGAGAAGGTTATTGAGGATCAGACTTCTACTGAGCCTGTGAAGGAGGATGTGGTAGAAACCACCCTAGAAGATCCTGTACCAGCTGTGGTTGAGGAGCATGAGGACAAGGTTGATCGCGAAAAGAAAAGTGTGATAATTTATGAGGAAGCTAATGACACCGTTAAGACAATCGAAAACGACTCCGTAACGTTGAATGACCTTGAAGGCCCTTCTACAAGCTCACACTCTCAAACAAATTTGACCATCACAGAGGAAACATCTAAGAAACCTCCTCCCCAGAAACAAATGATCAGTTTACTCGACAGCAGTGAGGATGAAGACAGTGCTGATGAAGGTCTGTCTTCAGAGGAGGAAGGCTGTTCACATAAAGTTGAAGATGTGCAGAGTGAAGACGATGTGATGTGTCCTGATGGAAATCAGGTGTCAGAAAAAGCGGAGGCACATGGTAACGGACTCTTTGTTATAGACACTAAACCTGGACTACGGTCTAAGAAACCGTATTATGTTGATGCCAAGCAAACCGAGGAAGAGGATGAGGAGGATTTTGTTGATGAGGATGGAGATGACGATGATGACGAAGATTCAAAAGTGCTGTTTGCTCCCAAAAAGCCTCTGTAAGTTGGTTTTGTTTCTCCTATTGTATTGTTTTTTTAAATATTAAAAACGTTTCAATATTTTTAACTCTTCACTAAATATTTACATGTAATATTTCAAATATATTTAGTCTGAAAATGTCAAACTGTTTTTTTCTTGCTCAGGATACAGCTATCTAGTGCCATTGACACAGGTCTGAAAATGAAGGAACTTGGTGGTTTGTACATCAGTTTTGATGGCAACAAGCCAAAGAGTCTTTCCAACAGTTCGAAAAGCCAGAAGGACCTGAACAATCAGGATGAGGTAAATAATCATTTATTATTCTGGATGAAACATTGGCTGTATTTGATGACAGTTCAAAGCATTTTGTGCAGCTGTAATGCTTATTTAAGCAAAAGGGCATAAAAAATGTTGTATTCATTGTGTAGTTGCTGAAGAAGAGTGTTATCGTTCCGGAATTTGAGAAGAAAGATGCTGTGCCTCCATACAGTGAATCTAAACATGCTGCTAAACTCAAGCGTAAGGTGGGTACACCCATTCATGTAGAAATGGATAGTCTCATATTTTGTCTCCTTAAAAGGAAAGCTGTTTTACAGTTTTTATCTTTTATTAATTCATCTTGAAAACTTACAATATCATTAAAAAGTTTGGGGTCGGTAAAAGGATTTTTTTTTTTTATTCAATCTAAATCATTACAATTTTTAAAAATTAAATTAGGAGCAAGGGTGTATTAAATTGATCAAAAGTGAAAAAAACATTTTATTCAAAGACTGAGTAATGGCTGCTGAAAATTCAGCTTTGCCATTGCAGGAATAAATTACATTTTAAAATACAGGAACATAGAGAAAAGTAATTTTAAGTGATCATATTTCTTATTAGTATTTCGTTTTTTTTTTTTTTTTTATCATAAATGTAGTCTTGGTGAGATAACTTTAAGGGTAGTGTGTCACTTTAAACCTTTAATACTCAAGCAATGGTTATGATTTCTGATGATATCTCAAGTCATTATAACAGTAGTGTTAACAAATAAAGTTTGTAATTCTCATGCTTTTGATTACATCAGGGTTTTATAAGCAATGTACTAATCTTATTTGTGTGATATTTGTCATATACAGGCGGAAAGAGAAAAGACAACTGGTGATGGCTGGTTCAACATGAGAGCTCCTGAATTAACAGAAGAGTTCAAAAATGACCTGAAGGCACTTAAGATGCGCTCAGCCATGGACCCAAAGCGCTTCTACAAGAAGAATGACAGAGAAGGATTTCCCAAGTACTTTCAGGTTGGTTGGGGTAGGACTGGGCAATATGGCCAAAAAAAAATCATATCGGCATTTTTTGGCTGAAATGCGATATACGGTATATATCTCAGTATTTTCTAATTGGAAAAAAAAAAAAAAAAACATTTCACTATATTTGTTGTCAGTGCTTTTTTTTTTATAAACATTGTTTCATTGGACAACATTGGGCAGGATGTTATATATTATTATTTTTAATACCCTGCCCAATGTTTTCCAATGAAACAATGTTTATATTGGTGAAAACAAATATAGTGAAAGTAGATTGTGTGCGAAAATTAACACATTACAATCTAAAAACAAAAATAATGATTTTTAAAACAGAAGTTAAATTCACTAACTAAAAATGAAAGTAAACACAAGAGCATAGATTAATTGCATTATATTTTGATTACTCCATTACTGCCATCTGCCATCATAAATAGCCGTGCACCGTACATATCGCTTATTAAAAAAAAAATATATCGATATATCACACAAACTTGATATACCGACCAGCCCTAGGTTGGGGAGTCTTTATCAGCAACTTTTCCCCTCAAACAACTTTTCAAAAAGCCATTGTTCTATTCTTTCGAGTAAAGTTTTGATCTTTTTGTTTCAGGTTGGTACAGTGGTTGACAACCCAGTAGACTTTTATAGTTCAAGAATCCCTAAGAAACAAAGGAAAAGAACCATTGTTGAAGAGCTGCTTGCTGATGCAGAGTTTAGAAGGTAAGAAAACTGGCTGATTAGCTTTATATGCAGTAAACTGAGATAAATGATTTGTATTCATGAAAATGTTTTTTTTTTTATTGACTTCTCTCACTATTGTTTTAAATTAATTGTCATGTTCTAAAATACCTCCTTTTCAGCTATAACAAAAGGAAATATCAAGAGATCATGGCAGAAAAAGCAGCGCAGGCCGCTGGCAAGACGAACAAAAAGAAGCACATGTTCCACAAAAAGAAAATTAACAAATAGTTTCATAAGGCAAATCAGTTTTTGATTTTGAAATATGAGGCAACTATATTTTTTTAAATTTCAGTGGATCAATAAATGCTTTTTTTAATCATTTGCATTGCATGGGGAAAAAAAACTTTTTAGAGTTTTTTTTCTTAAATGGATCGAGATTGAAAGACTGACTGAAGAGACTGATCATTCCTCTCTGGGTTCACAATAAATTAAGTCCAAAATGATGTATTTTTCTTTTTACTAATGCTGTCATCATTATGGAAGTTAAAGTATGTTACACATTGTCAAGCTTCCACCACCCATACTGTTTCCTGACTTGATTTACCTGACATACGCAAATACACCAAATAACTGATTAAACATATCTATGGCTATTGTGTTCAGGTGCTTTGTCCGGGCTGTGATGCGTTTCTGTAGAGGTGCCTGTAGATTTTGCTCAAACTGTCCTCAAACACCGCTCTTTGCGCCTTTCCTGTGTACGCAGCTGCTCTGTTAGTCCAGACTGTTCCATTGTCTAAATGAACAGATGGATCTCCAGAAAGAAGCCTGCAGTATGGACAGGACACAATGTTTATGGGAATGTCAAATTAAAATGTATAACTGCATATTCCACTGCAACTATGACAAGCTCACATTTTCAAGGCTAACTATAAATGGCTAAACATTAAATTATTTAGCCATAACTCGTTAATAGTAGCCTATACAAGACTCAAGCTCAAACAATGATGTTTTTGTTCCATTAATTTTATGTGCAATTATAAACGTTACATGTGGAAAACATACCATAATATTTTATAACATTCTATTATATATAGCCTATATGTGTGTGAGACCCATTCAAATTCAACTGCTTTTATTTCCAGCTAATTTCTTTATAATATATGCTTTTATGTATATACATGTTGAATGTAAAAAGTTCAACAATTGCGACATAAAACTGCAGATTAAGACTCCCTATTTTACAAAATATTTTTTATATATATACACACACACATCACCCAAAGGAAAGGTTCTTTCAATTTTAATTTAGGCTAGAAATCCTAAACGGTTTGAAATGAGGTGGTTTACCTGTCCTTTGACAGCCGCCTGTCAATCACTGAGTCACGGTGGGTGGAAACACGTAAACTCTGTCTGAACCCCTCCTCCTCCTCACTCTCTTCATCCTGACAACACACACACACACACACTTTAGTCATGAAAATATAAACATAAATATGTGTATATAGTAGTATAGTATATATAGTATATATACATAAATAATGCAATAAACTGTTTAATTATAATATGGTGAAATTAGCACAAAGATATGTAGCACTGCCGAATATCCCAAACTAATGATTTTTTCCCCAACAATCTGCTAATGCAACAAAGAGTGAAACTCTCATAAAAGCAAATCTGCTTGATAAATTTTTTTTTAAAGAAATCCCAGTCCTTCTCTCTTTTTAACTCTGGAGTGGATTACACATTTCACTTCTCGAGCTGGGCTTCAGCCACGCAGCGCTTGGCACCCAACTGTGTCACTGTGGCATCTCTTCTCTCTCTCTTCTGTCTGTAAAAGATGAGCCTGTAACAACAGCCATCAGCCTGCATACCTCCCTCCCAGTGTACATGCACTCTTTTTTTTCCTCTAAGGGAGGATTTGGGGAAGCTTTAGAGTAATTAGAACTCTTTCGCTTTTCTTTCACGTCAGGGTGTTCCAATGAAACATGGTGTGGGCGGTGATGCATTTAAGCGGCCCACAACTCAAGCGAACAGAAAGAATGAGCACGTAAGGTGATTACCTCGTTCACTTCCTGGGAGACAGTGGTGGCACATCCTGACACAATGGATGTGAAGAATACAGAGTGCCTGACAGAATCAATGGAGGATGTTTGAAACACTGACATGTGCCGTAACGAGTGTTTTGGAGAATGCTTCTGCATGGGTTAATGTGCGCATTGAATGACAGCATTACATGCAGTTGCGATCTCAGAGACGTACAAAAGAAAGCTTGCAGCGAGGTCCGTGGATGTCTAGGATTCTCTGCACTCGTTTGTGGATCTCCTCCGACGCTTTATACTGGAGTAATAGCTGATGGAAATTCAGCTTTGCATTTTTTTATATTGTAATAACATTTTGCACGATTACTGTTTTTTTTCTGTATTTTTGATCAAATAAATGCAGCCTTGATGAGCATAAGAGACTTCTTTAAAAAACATTACAAGTCTTACTGATCCCAAACTTTTGACCGGTAGTGTATATATAAAC